AAAATCTCGCCAAAACTACGGAACGTCACGTCCCACTGTGATACACAGCTCCTCTTGACACTTTTTTTGGGATGTCGCTTTTCTTATTCCATGTAAGCTATATGTAAGTCAAGAGCGTATGTTAAATAAACTATTATAGCGAAAGCTTTAAGGAGCTCGTGTTGTAGAAAAGACGGTGTCAGCGGGGTAAGGAAACCCTGATTGGTCGACAATCAGGGTCGACCAATCCGGTCCTACTGGCCTCCTATCGGAGGGTAGTAGGACCGAATATACAAAACTACACCTCAAAGATATTGAGGCTAATCCCTTGCAAACCATTCTGAAAACCTACTATAGCTGAATAGACTGGAAGTTACGCTATTTGACAAGTTACTGAGATAACACTAAACTAGTTCGAAAGTAGAACTGAACAATTTCATATTACCTTGCTGCAGTGTTTCCCAAAGGGAGAAAAAGAACGAGATAATATGGCGTGATCCCCGGCCCGTACACACTTCAGTTTGTAGCTGTGCTAGAACACAAGAATAGCATTCCTCTATGCACAAGCTCCACAACTCGGTCCTCGGTGGGGGAAAACCATAGCTTTCCGTACTTCGTGTAGAAAATCTGGGAAAGGGGGGGAGGGAGGGAGAAGGCGGAAGAATGGGATAGATTTAGTCTGGGTGTGTCAGGGGCGTGTTTGAAGGGTTGTGTATTAATAACTGTTCTCTACTATTGCACGCAACATGCCTGTTGGTAGACAAGTACTTTCTGTAAACTATAGGCCAGTTCGAGGCAATCGTGCTCACCCCAGCTCAACCGTTTAATGAGGGGTTCGCATAGGTCAAGCGAGTATGATGGAGATCAACCAGGTAATCAAGCGAACCAAACCTTGTTCCTGACACCCCTGATTGAGGCCGGCCGTCTGGACGAAGCCAAGTCTCTGAGCCGCGTGGGATCCCTGGGGGAGGTGGAGGACGTGCCGAGCTATGCAGGATTTCTCACCGTCCAGGAGGATAAGGGCAGCAACATGTTCATCTGGTTCTTTCCGGCAAAGGTACCTAGCTGTCCTGCTACTATCCAACGTTCCCTTGTTTGACGTTCCAGAAATTTTGTAATACCGTTACAAGTCTCCAATGAATAAACAACTTGCCATCAATAGAAACAACGATAACTTTCTAACCAGCAAAATGTAAAACTCCTCGACTTATTCGTATAGCGACATAGTAACCTTGGGGCAAGGGGCAAAAGAGGCGGACGACAAACTTTTCGGAGTGAATGTTTGTCCGTTCTATTTTCCCCCTTGAAGCAGCGTTACTATGTATACGTCAGTCTTAAACCAACTCGACTGCATTCTCGCTTTAGTTTCGACTATTCATACAGTCAGTGGGGAAAAAAAGAAACTAAGACAAACGAGATGTCGTGCGTGAAGTCCATTCTAAATTACTCTTTCTCTAAACAAATACCGACTAACTACATGTTGCGACCATTAACAGTGCCTGTGGCATTTCCCCAGAAATCAACACCTCGTTAAAACAGCATTGTATCATTTGCATGACAAAGGAGTCCTTTGGTACCAAGAAATATTAAGTCATTTGCACATTTATTTACCTTTTTGTCAGATCGGACCGAAAAGCTGGTATGCCGCTGTCTGAAGAGCGCTATGTGGTCTTTGTAGGAAAGTCCGGAGAGTGCTCCCGTGATCCTCTGGCTCTCAGGTGGTCCCGGAAGTTCTGGCATGTTCGGAATCTTCACGGAACATGGCCCGTTTGACCTCACCGACGGTGGAATTCCTAAACTTCGGCGGTCCACCTGGACCAGAAGCTTCTCGATGCTCTACGTCGACAACCCAGTGGGCACTGGGTTCAGCTTCACCGAAACGGAACAGGGCTACGCGAGGGACCAGTCGGACGTGGGCCGCCTTATGCCTGAAGCCCTACAACAGTTCTTCACACTGTTCCACGAGTTCGCCGGCAACGAGTTTTATGTCGCCGGAGAATCGTTTGGTGGTGAGATTTCGGTCTCTAGCGAGTCAATTGTGTGGTCTAGAAAATACGCGGGAAAACTATATTGACAGCAAGAAGCACACAGGGTAGTCACTGCCGAGCTTGTAGACCGTGATTGGAAATCTGTATCAATATACTCAACTGAAATCACTGTAGTGTTCTGGAAAAAAAAAAACAGATTTTTAGCTAATAATAAATAAACGAGTGAATTAATATATATTATTCACCGAAAAAAAAAAAGAAGTGTCGGCGTATGTCCCTGCAGGCACAACTAGGCTAGAAATTTCTTCAACTTAATCTTTCAGCGAATAGGCCCACACGAAGAGGTTAGGGGACCTCCCGCCCAGTTAAAGCGCTGTACGAAGGGTAGGGTCACGGCGACCCTGTCGCGTTCCGGTGAGAGGAAAAAACCACTCCCCATGCGAAAGTCCTAAAAGAGCAGGCCTTTTCACCCCAGCCCGGCTGTAGCTAATAAATACTACACGAATCTCATAACAGACTTCACATGCAATACCAGTCGGCAGAGAGTTACTCGGTTTACCGTATAGAATGTTCCGATATTTGGAAGACGTCATTCAGCAGTCGTGTAACTTCCTTCATCATACACCGGCCACGTAAATCACATATATCATACTTAGTTTTACTTGCGAAATAAAAAGGCGCCGACCTATTTTTTAATACACCGCAGTTTCTAATTAAAAGTACCATCCAACCTGTGGCAGAGGATGAACCTACTACCAAACGATGCTTACTCTTAAACGAGTTTACATAGCGAGCGCGTTCGGCCATTTCCGTTTGTTGTCCAACTGCCACAGCCCGAAGTTATAGTGCGTTGCAACCGCAGTTGCATTGACTCCAGCGTGTTTTTCATTGTACCGCTTTTCTGTTTGTGAGCTCGCTTAGCTCGGTGATCGATCATGAAGAGTACCCGTGATCCTTAAGTAGACACCCTCAACTGCAACGTGTACAGTTTGAACTTCGAACGTAGGTTCTTTTTTTTCCTCATGGCTGATCCGTTTAATTTATTTTTTGTTTATTCTTCCTATTAACCCAGGGAAATACGTCGCAGCTGTTGCGTACGCTCTTCACACGGCCGTGGAGCCCAGAGTTCAAATCAACCTCAAGGGCATCGCCATCGGTGATGGTCTAGTGGATCTGGAATCCATGCTGGACTATGCGGACTACTTCTACCAAATCGGGCTTGCGGACCACGGCCAGGCTGCAATATTTCGCCAGTGGTGCGACAAAGCCAAGTACTACATAAAAATCAATCGCTACACGGAAGCGGTCAACATATTCGATTCTATGATATTATGTGGTGTCAATACCACATGTTACTTCAAGCAAGTTACCGGTTTCGACAACCATTTTAATTACTTGTATGATAAGTTGCCCCAAGAGCTGTACTACTTCGTCGAGTTTGTACAAACCCCTCTTGTTCGAAATGCCATCCACGTTGGGAACCTTTCTTTTAACGAGGGATCACCGGTGGTTGCGGCGCATCTGTTTGAAGACATCGCAAAATCCGTGAAGCCTTGGCTTACTACATTAATGAAGGCATACAAGGTACTGATATACAATGGTCAACTGGACATCATCGTCCCGTATCCACTTACGGTGAACATGATCTCGAGCATCCTATGGCCAGGCGCAAAGGCAATCAGCAGTGCACCACGGAAGATTTGGATGTTTCCAAATGGACAAGATGTTGCTGGCTACGTCAGACAGGTCAAGAATCTTACAGAAGTATTTGTGAGAAATGCCGGACACTTTGTTCCTCATGATCAACCAGAAGCGGCGTTTGACATGATTACGAGGTTTGTTCAAGGCAAAGCGTTTGACCAGTGAGGAGCCAGTGGTCGCAGGAACAAATGATTGCAATTTCCGTTGACAGTTCTTAATGAAAACAACCTTGTCAAGTAGAAATATCATCAGTAACACTAGCTGATAACCTGATTTAATAAAATTTGTACTCAATTAAACCTCAATACACTTGGATATTTTGTGCGTTGAGGTTAGCGGAGCAGGGGGTAGAAATATGTATGTGGAGTATAAGCAATAACGAACTTTCTCAAGTACTGAGGTTATACTGAAAAAAAAAACGGGTAAGTTCCAAAAACTGGTTGAAATAACTCAAGGAAATGAGTTTCGGGGAAGTATAGAAAAGATAGCCCACATCTCGCAAAGAAAACTAGCTTCTCAGGGCTTAGTTTCTTAGATCAAAGCCGGCTGTTGTTCTGAAGGTCTCCCATGATGCTCATGCAATAAATGTCATGTGACAGAATCAAAGAACAAGTGATGTGTGAAATATTTTCACGTATAGTACAGCCAAAAACTAGAACAAAGGACAGCGGATGAGTCGATGAACAGTATAACGCTGAAGTGGCCTTGAGACGTCCATAGTTCCCCGTACGCCATCGTCTTTCTCCCCCAATTTACGTGAGGTTCATCGAGCGAACTTCCAGTTCGTCGGCCGGCACCCTCACACTAATCTAGTTTGAGTACTGCATCTATAAGGAATTAAATTAGTTTAACTGTAGTGGTCTGTTGCTCTCGGTGGCGAAGTCTACGTGGAGGCGCCAGTTGAGATTTCGAGCACTAATTAAGAGCCTAAATGCAAGGTGCTATTACATCGCTCCAAGCAGGAGCGATGTCTTCGTCTTAAAATAAATTGGGCCGATCACCGCTCTTCGGCTATCCACACGCGCGCAACTGGTACAATAACTGAAATAATAAATTATTATTACTATTACACTCACTGACAGTTTAAGAAACACAGGGTGCGGGGGGTCTCAAGAATCTCATTATCGCCCAACAGCCAATGAGATCGAGGCGTTAGCCTATAAGATTGCCGAGGACCCAATCACGAGGCAAGGAGCATAAACTTAATACCCCGCCCTGGATTTCTTTAGCTCTGTGACTCTATACGGTAAGCGTAATTTCGAACTAGCCACGACTTTTCCTCGCGTCACTGCGACGATACCACAAGCATAACGGGCACACGGAGACAATGAATCAACAGTTCTGAAAGCCTTAGTATTTTCACTCGTTCAATGTCGATGTCGCCGAACAGATTATGGTGAACACAGCGGTTTGTGAGGTTTTCGATATTAGCGGTAGGTTGTTATTTTCATGTGTTATCACGATGATTGGCGATTATGTATTGATAACCTTCGTCCCGTTCGTACGGCGCCCACGTGAAGTTGAAGTTTCTGGGATCTGCCTTTCTTGTTGGCGGCTTGTTGATGGGAGGCACCATTGTTTTAGCATGCATCTCGATCCTCTGCGTCATAAGCTTCATAATCTGAAGGGAAAAAAGAACGGAAAAAAAGAGCCAATAAAGTATTTTTGTGCAGACTAGCACATCTTGAAAATTGCTCTCGGAGTTAGGTGAGGGTAGACCACACTTTCAAGTAATTTTAAAGCCTGCAGGGCCATCCTAAATTGTCACAATTTTCGCCAGGCATACTGCAATGTTCACTCTAAAAACGTCCGTGCGTCTATTTTCACGCACACCACTCGGAGAGCCAATCAGCGCAACTTACGGAGGCAGCTCAGCGAATGACGATGCCGAAACATCTGTTTAGACCAAAAAACGCAGACTGAGTTGTGACATTAAGCAATGCAAGCGTGACGTTTTGTATTGCTTAATGTCATAACTGAGACTGCGTTTTTTGTCTAAACAGATGTTTCCGCATCGCCATTCGCTGAGCTGCCTCCGTAAGTTGCGCTGATTGGCTCTCCGAGTGGTGTGCGTGAAAATAGACGCACAGACGTTTTTAGACATTGCACTAAGTAAACCAGCGGAACACTTCAGTATAAATATGTACGTGTTCAGATTTGACAATGTGAACAAGCTCGTCCCATTTGACTCAAGTCACCGAACTTCTTAGCGGAAACAAAGGACGAAACTTCCATTTAACACATATTTGTTTTGCCTCCAACTTTTTTTTTACTTTTTTTTTTCTTTCAGCTCTGTAAATCATTGAGCCTTTTCCATGGATAACAGCGATTGGCTTTCCCAACTTCTAAGCGGTAATGTAGAGGCTCCAGAGTTCTCGGAGTGTGCCGTACGGCACGGACAATACCTGCCTTTGGGCAGACACATCTGTTTATACCAATCAGAAAACAGAGAAATTTCGCAACGCATGTACCCCACATCCGAAAGCAGAAAATTCGCTTTGACAATAAATAACAACATAAGTATACGTCAACATCGTCACAAGTAGAGAAAGCTTCTTAGACGATCATAAAAAGATTGTTCTTGGTCCCATCATGAGTCAACCGAATGGCCCGAAATTCATTTTTCTTTTGAGTCATGTGTAAAACAAAATGCAAGAGCAGAATCGTACTTCCGGGTACTTGTTGGCGACGTTGGCGATCTCGCAGGGGTCACTGTCGATGCGGAACAGGCAGGGTTCAAGCAGGGGTTTGCACACGGTGCCATTGGTCTTTCCACAGGAGACCCGCACTTCTTCATGACGACGTACCGGCAGGGAGCGCCCCAGAGCGAGAATAGTCTCTGAGGCGGCACATTCCGTGCCGAAGATGCCGCTCTTGTCGACAACGTTATCCTTGTAGCTAAAAAAAGAATTACGTTTGTTTTAGAGTGATCGACCTCGGCTTTTTGAACACTGCACGAGGGTAGCGACAGCTACTGGTCTTTTTTTTTTTTTATGTCGACTTTTTCCATTGTTAGTCTCGGAACTCAGCGGCCTCCACCGTGAATGTTGTAGTCCTATTGCAGAGACAGGGGCTCCGATGGTATTGTCATGTTTATCCCGACTTCAATGGAGTCCGTCCTTTAGTGAATCGATCATAATTTGTAGATATAAATTTCAGCAGATGGGTTTACTTCAATTGGGTTATCCTGAATTTCCAAGTGGTTCCAATATTGGGTATGACCTTCACCCAATATTAGAAATGAGGAAAAAAACAATGTAATGCTCTACATGCTTGGGAGAAGAGCGTGTTGGTTTAAGTCATGGATGAAGAAAGAATAAAACAATTAAAACAGGGACAACACAACCACATCTTTCAAACATGAAAGATGCGGTTGTGTTGTCCCTGTTTTAATTGTTTTACTCTTTCTTCATCCATGCTCTACATGATTTGCAACGGTACAGGCCCGAAGACACAATGTAGTACATATTGACACCGAGGCTACCAATAGGAGAAAACAAAACGGCGTGCAAATCGGTTTGCTCCTTGTCGCACTTTGTCCGTTTGTTTACCCCCTAAATGCTCCCACGTGTGTTTGTTTACTCCCGTACTCAACCAATGGGGGCGCAAGCCTGGATGCCTCGTCATCGTGCGTTATATACGCGTGCTCGATTTTGCCCTCTAATTGGCGTGCCCTCCTTTGCGTTCCGATGCACCAACGACGCATTTTAGAACACCTGCTCGCCGCATATGTCCGAGATACGAGCTGGAATTAAACAAATTGAAGCATCTTTTTTTCTCAATTTCGAAAAAAATAGTTATGACCGAGCCAGCCCACCAGCCCAGAGCTCATTTTACTTGAAAATAAAAGAGTTTCTTATACAGAATTTTCTTGGCTTAGGGAAGCAAAATGGTGCATAAAATGGCTCGTCTAACACCCTTCTACAAGCTGAATAACTTATGTAAAGGAAGTCACCAAACGCCAATCCTTAAATGCGAGGGGGCCCAATATTCCGAAACCAAATTGGTCTCTTCTTCAGGGACGACGGGGGGGGGGGGGGGGGGGGGGGGGGTTGAGGATCGTCTTCCTCAATTATAATATTAATTCCTAATTTAACTCAACCTGACAGATTTCTGTCAGGTATGTTTACGTTTAAATATGAAGAACTCTCATCCAACAAGAAGTGAAATATGGCTCCACGTTCCAACCAAAAACAGAAATCTGAAAACTCTCTGTGAATGTTTCAGACAATTGCCCTATCCTTCCAGACGGCTTTGACACCCAGAATAGTGGCGGTGTAACAACTAAATACACAAGTATAGAGGAGAGCCTACCGCACGCTGCTTTCCCCGGTCGACGGATGGGCGAGTCCTGCCGGCTTGTACCACTTGTCGAAGCGGCCATCGTCGTAGGAGCCTTGCACGTACTTGAAATCGCCGTACCGCAGCGCAGACATATTCGAGATCGGGTCGATGTTGTGCAGCACTTCCAAGCGCGGCGACGCGCTGTCCTTCAAGAGACTGTCCCACATGTCCACGCCATCGATGTCCCCCAGGTCGGGCACCGATCCACCTACATGATCATCATCATATCTTTATTTGATAAACGTTCGAATTTCACCAGAATAGGGAAATTCCTTTCGAGTGTGTGTGGGTAGTCATGCACGTGAGAACGAGATGTTGCTATTTTAGAGCGCAGCTCTTAGGGGCCCGTTTCCAGCCTGAGCGGCGTCGGCGTCGCCGTCGGCGTAACCGCGCCCCTCCCTCTCCTCCTCCTTTCTTCCTCCTCCTTCCCCTCCTCCTCCTCCTGTCCTCCTCCTCCCCCTCCTTCTCCTCCTCCTCCCCTCATTGTGTAGTATGGTCCGGGCGGGTCACGTGACCTCGGGGGGAGGGGGTCACATGACCCGTTTCCAGCCTGTGCGGCGTCGGCGTCGCCCCTCCCCCTCCTCCTCCTCCCCCTCCGCTCCTCCTCCTCCCCCGCTCGGTAAAGGTGGTAAAGGAGAGGGAGGGGGAGCAGGAGGGGAGGAGGACTACCAGGCATGATCACGAGGGAGGAGGAGGAATATACCCTCCACTCCTCCTCCTCAAGAGCTGCGCTCCAATTCGGCGTTACAGGAAGTTGTAAACGGCTTTCACTTTTTTATCTACTACGTTAAATGAATGCACATACGTCCTTAAATTCTGAAATAAACAAAAAAAAAATCAAGACTGACTATTGTTTTTCAACCTGTCCACCACAGGGCTCACAGTTCTCAGTGGGCTAACAGAACATCATGAAGTAAGAGGACAATTGATTATACAATTTTGATCATGCTGACCAAGACTGGTAACCACGAAATGTGTGACAGGCCTTCTAAGGAAGAAGAGAAGGGCGTCTGCACGGTACCGCCTACCGAAAATTCGCTCTCATATCTGGCACAGGCCGTGAGATGGCGCAGCATGGCAGAAAAAATAACATGTTGCATCAATTTGTTTCCTTCGAAGTTACTGCGCTGCTAAGTGCACCTTCCACGCCGGCATTTTTTTCCCAATGCCCCAGACGAGATTACCTTTTGACTTTATGACTAGATATATATTTTGTGCTGCATTCGGGAATCGGGTAGAAGTACAAGCATTCTACTAATTAAAACAGTACGTCCACTTATTTCCCTTTTTATTAAATTAACCAATAAGCCTGTCTTGCCCTTCACATTTACAGGTTCTAGGAGCTTTTGATGAACTTTTTCCAAAGCAGCACGAAAACAAATGTGATAGTTTCTACAACATTTTATTTCTAACAGTGACTAGTGAAAAAGTAAATACAGCGCTGCAAATTATAGGCCAATATTTACAGACATATCCGCGATAAAGTGGAAATGTTTGAGCCCAAGCTTGTTAAACTGCTATTCATGAAGGTTGTTGGTCCGACTGACCAAGATAAACCTGTGACTTCCCTGGCAGACTTTTATTGATTAAAAAAGTATATATTTATGATTATTTATTTGAGTAAAATAAAAAAAATGAAAAAAAAATAAAAAAGTAAAAAAAAAAAAAAGAAGAGTAAAGATATCGAGCACACTAACTGCCCGCGTTGGCAAAAAAAAAGTGTCTTACGAATTCCTCTAAGTAGTCGCATGTATTGCAGTATAATTCCAACGAGTGTGAGGAAATCCGTCAATTCCGAATTTCTCGGGTGCAGCGTTCTGGGAGGAAAATTCGAAAGCCTTTGTGGAGTAAGTTCTACTTCGGCTCTCTGACTACCTTATTTTAGGTGCGTGACAGCGAGCTCTTCTCGAATCAGCAGACAAAACTATAGGCCTAAATTTATCCCGGCCAAACTGTCGATAATCACGTTGTCGGTGTACTTAAAGGACGGCGTTCTACCCCTGCGCCGTCCTTTTCTCGCCTTGTATTTTTTGACGTGACAGATGAGAAAGCAAAGCAAAGCCGCTAAGCTTAAAGACCCACACGACCACCCATGAAACAAATTCTAGAGTCACGAGGTTTGGAGGGCATCCGTTGTAACGCTGTCTCCGTACGTGCCCTCAGTTTACGGAGGGACGTGCTATCGCTTTGACTCGCCGGCGGCACCGACGCTACGCAACACGTTTGTGAATATACTATCGTTCCCAGGAGCCAACGCCGGCGTCAAAAACAACTAAAAGCGACACGCGCAATGCTAGCGGCACCGAACTAATCAGCGCTATATCAGTAAAGGCTCGTTCACACTCTTGCAACCGAGTACGACCGAGAGAGACCAGACCGGTTTTTAAGCCTCTTGCGATCTTTAAGACCAGCTCCGCAGCAGCGCACCCGGTCCTAAGACGCCGCAACAGGCTTAAAAACCGGTTCTGTCTTTCTCGGTCTTACTCGGTTGGAAGAGTGTGAACGAGCCTTATTAACGCGGCGGTTCAAAGAGAAACCAAACCCCATAAACCGGCGGTGGCACCCCTCGTGAACCTAGAGGGGCTTTAATTAAGGGAACCAGATCCTTGTGCACTTCTCTTTTCGAAGGAACTGATTGCCACCGTGTTTAGACTTACTCTGTACGTTGCTTCATAGAGAACCTAAGAACGCGTTATCCTTCCTTTTTTCCTTTCTCTTGTCATGCGTTCGAGAGGTCGCGGAGAATTGTGATCGCGACACGAGACAACGCGCACGCCGCGGTCATAAACAAACGAAGTTCTCGCCAGTCCCGTGTGGTTGCGTTTTGATAGAACGTCTTTAGCCATGGCAGAGATTTACAGTGTCTGTGTGTATTCTATGCTATCTTAGAAAACGCAAAAAGAAGAGAGCAAAGCAGAGAAATGTTCGCAGTGGGTGTAAGACGAATGTCAAATCTCCGAAGATAACAGGGCAAAATCCTCCAGCTCGTGCATTCTTTATTTGTAGTCACATTCGAAGTTGACCGGTTTTCTCGCGCTCGTTGGAATTATTGCAGCGCAGGTGAGTGCTTCGCGGAATTCGTCAGTCTGCTTTGAAGAAAGACAAAACACAGACTTCTCAACACGCCCTTTTGCCAACGCGGGAAACTTGTGTGCTCGATATCTTACAAAATATTGTTTCTTTTTTTTTTTTTTTCTTCATTTTACTAGAATAAATCATTACAAATATTTTTAATCTGAACGGAATTCAAGCCGCAGGTTTTTCTTGGTCAGCCGGACGTACAACCGTGATGAATAGCAAGCAGGGTAACAAGCTTGGGCACAAATATTCCCACTTCATCGCAAATATGTGTATAAATATTCCCATATGGTTTTCACCGCTGCACATACTTTCTGTAAACAAGACAATATTGTGTAGCGAATAAAGTTATTTGTTCACAGTTTTCGTCTGAAAGTTCGAGAACTTGTAATTTTGAAGGGGAAAACAGACTTTTTGGTGAAATCAATAAAAATAGAAATCATTGCAATTGTTGTTTCAATTAGTAGAAAACTGGAACTTCAACCCTATTCCCTAATGCAGCTCAAAGAAATATATCTAGTCATAAAATACACGGAATCAAAAGATAATCTCGTCTGTGGCATTTGGGTAAAAAATGCCGGCGTGGGAAGTGCACTTGGCAGAGCTGTAACTTTGAAGGTAACAAAATGATGCAACATTTTTTCTATGAATAAACAAAAGAGCATGATGTAGAACTGCAGTATAAATTTAAGGAAAATTGAAGATGTTTTCATTTGTAATTGTCCTTTGAAGTTTATAATATATTTACTTGAGGATAAGTTTGAAGCGGCATAAAAATTTTAATCTTTAAGGTAATTTAATTATTTATATGTCATTCGAAAGAACGTTTTAGTAAAAATATTTTAGACAAATCTTTATGGTTGATTTATTCAATCTGTTTGAATAACGGAGCAGAAACCTAGTTACAAAATGTCGAACAAGCCATGTTTGCGCACTTTTGAAGCTAATTATATAACCACCACAATGCTGTACATACATGTTTAAATAGTTCTTATGATCTATTGTAAGCGCAAAATATTTAAGAAATTTTATATTAGTAGTTTACGTAGTAGGTGTCACCAAAAATGGCATAAACGAAAACTTTAAAAAATCTAATATGCCGTTTTAGCGCACTAATTTTTTATCCTCCTCAAATATTACGTTTCATACACACAAAAAAAAAATACTACATTTCCTAAACATGTTGAGGAGTAACATATAAAACAATTAGTAAACACAAAAAAAAAGTCCTAACTTGCGTGCATGACGTTATCTGAACGGAGCGAGCCAATAGCTGGTTCCCAGATTTGCGTTTGACCGTGACGGTTGTTATACCCCCGTTACGTGGGCACCCTTAACCTCGGTTACCTCAGCTTTTACTGCCGTTACGCGACGCCACAGCTACCGCACAACACTCTCGGACAGCTATTTCATAAGAACCTAAGAGCGCGCACGCACTGCTTTGATTTCTGCTCAAGGTGCTGAGCGCACGTTCGCCCATAGCTTTGACTGCATAGCTGCAGAATGTTGTCCGCAAGTATTGTACGCTAACTCTGGCTTAGCCTAACTGCAGTTAAGTGTGCCCATGTAACAAGGGTATCGATCGTTTCTAATTGCTTATGAGGACGAGACACACTTGTACACCGGCGCTATCTACCGGGTAGCTCTGGCACACTTCCGATCTGCGTAACTAAACTAAATGCCTTGCAGTGTTTGCGAGATTAAATCAAAGCACTGTCTACGTGGAACGGACGCCGCTTTTAACATACGCATATTGTTTTTACAGCACACAGCGGTCATACTGCTAATACACCATATAAAAGAGACAGTCTGTAGACGCTGTCTAGTCCTGTCAAATTCGTCAAACAAAAACTGCCTCAGACGTGTAGATAATTATGTTATCATCTCTGTGACGAACACCTCTGCTTTTTTTGTGTGATGTACGCGAGCAGTGGGACCACGGTCAAGTCGAGAAATGAATCTTAGTCGTTTAGATCCCGCACATCTCGAAGGGTCGAAGACTCACCAGCCGCCGAGTAGAGCGTGGGGAGCCAGTCGGACACGTGCATCAACTGCTGAGCTACGCGAGGTCTGTGGATCAGAGGACTCCAGATGAAGGAGACTCCTCTGACGCCGCCCTCCCACAGGGTTGCCTTGCTTCCGCGCAGCGGCCAGTTGGATCCTGCACTATCGTCCACACCGCCGGCAGCGCCCCCGTTGTCGGTGGTGAACACCAGGATTGTGTTCTCGATGGCCTTCGCCGAATGCAAGGCCTTCAGCAATTCCCCCAAGGCGTCGTCCAGGCACGACAGCATAGCTGCGAGCCGGTGGTGCTGACGGTCAGTTTCGCGAAATGGACGAGCTGATTTTGTATTTCATTCTTACGGTTGACGTGGTAAGACAACATACTCTCTCTAACTGGCCAGTTTGGCTACGCCACCGCTGCCGCAATGCATCGAGGGAACTTTGGTCTTTCTGTACGTGCGACCGCCTCGCTGGAGCTCTAAACGTGCAGAGCAGAAAACGGTACGAGCCGTCTCGTGCACTGTCATCTGCCGCCTGTGGACTAGCGTCACGCATGCGCAGAGCGCCCGGTAAGAACGGTCGCTTGCACCTCCCAACTGAAACACTTGATGCCGCGAGCCGTTCGATCGGAGGCAAGCGCAGAAAAAACTAACGTTGAACCGGCAATTTCGAGACGTCCAAATGGTTGGACCTTGCTGTGCGTGCGAGTAATATTTACGCGGCACTTTTTCGCAATCGCTCGGTCACTATTTTTAAGCAAATATTATTTATTTTCCTTCCTTTCCGTCTACGGTTATAGAGTAAGTTGTGTCACGCAAACGTGACCATCCTCTACCCGTCAAAATTAAAGACGGCGCTTTCAGAATGAGCCTCGATGGCAAGTCGATTCGCAGAAGTGACCAAAAGTTTGCTTTCTAAATGCTCAAAGGAGTGCTCCGGCGTTTCCTTTACGATCCCTGATTTACCTCAAAATTGACAAAACTCAGCAACGAATATAGCTGAATCAGCAACCCAAATATTTGGACAACATAATTTTTTTCTCACATTGTTACTGAATTTTTATTTTTGGTACTCACCTTTTTTTTTTTGTTCTTTCGAACTGCAAGTTTTTTACTGGCAAGAATGAAAAAGTGAAGCCAGCTTCAGACAGCCTCACTCTTTGTACTATATAGATTGTGTTCTTATATAATCACAAGCAGTTGCATTGTGGCAAACGAATGCTTCGAAGCTCGCTTCATCACCGTCGCAGCAAAACAAAATATGTGCGGCATACATAGTTTGTTTTTTTAGACTGCCTGTTCGACCTGCAAGCTTGCCCGCCAGTGACGCCACGACACTGAAAGCGCGAGTATATTTGAATTTTGGCTTTGGCATCATCTTCATTTGCCGATTTAACAATAAATATTCTGAATTTTGTGATACAAGACAGCATACCGGAAACGGAAGGCCGGGGTTGCGGAAAACATACTGGGCGTAGATTAGAAAATCGCCGGAGCACCCGTTTAAAGGGATACTGAACCAAAGAATAAGTGGCGCTCGTTCTTTCCACCAGCCAGCAGCCGCCGGTGTGCGCGAGCACAAGCAACAAAAATGACGTCACAGACCTCCATTCGCGGTTGAGATGACAGTGAAATGCATGGGCTTCGGACTAAAGGAGAATAAAGACAGGCTTTTCATCTTTACAAGTGAAAGCTATAGGTGCTTGTTAGACCAACTCATCGCTTACTTTTTACACCAGGCACCACTGTGTAGATGAAAAACTTGTCCTTATTCTCCTTTGGTCCGAAGCCCATACATTTCACTGTCATCTCAACCACGAATGGAGGTCTGTGACGTCATTTTTGTTGCGTGTGTTCGCGCACACCGGCGGCTGCTGGCTCGTGGAGAGAACGTGCGCCACTTATTATGGACACTAAATTCCTTGGTTCAGTATCCCTTTAAGTGCCATATGCATTATTAAAAGTGCAGGGTCGTTGAAGAGTGTTTCATGAAATGCAGATCCTTCATGCTAGTAATGCATTCATCAGTAAAACATCACTACTACTTCGCCTTAGGGGTAGCTACCTGCTTGCTGAACAGGTGGTGTTGGCTGAACGCAATCGGTAGTCTTCTAGGCGGAGCTAGCAGAATACGATTCTTCCGCTGACTTTGACTTTCCCTATTTCAAAACGAGCCTCCTTGAAGTCTCAGAGAAGGAGCAGGGGTTTCAGCAGGTTACTAAACGCTGTATGCTTTTGAAGAAGCCAACGTTCTTTTTCTAAAGTTCTAACGTGCCTCGAAAAACTGTACGTTTCGTTTGCGAAGTAGACAGTTCCTTCTAGGCAATTAGCCATAGAGTTCATCTTGAAAAAACGGACGTGACCGAATCATCACATCAGTTTTGTTTACGCTAGTGCTGTTCAGGGATTGAAGAAATTAGAAGCAACCTTAATAAGAGAGCTTAACGGAAGAAGAGCTCGGATGAAGAGCTGCTTCGAAGTTGATGCCTGTGCTTCATTCACCCAACGCTGAACTCAATAGATGCAACAGAGGCTGGTAAAATTATGGCTATATAGTACAAATCAGAAACATTGAAAAGAGAGGCAGTCCAGTCGTTATTAATGTGTCAGTATGGCGACACTAGATCGTATGGCGACAGTAGATCATGCTGCATCTTAAAAGTTTACCCGGTGCAACATGACTGTTATCACAGAGCTCTTAACGTGCATCACGCAGTAGTGATCATACCTTGGCAAATCTCACTCATGGGGGCCCTCACTCACCCTCACTCACCCTCATCTTCAAGGTGAGGTGAGGGTGAGTGAGTTCCTGAACAAGGAAAATTCATGAGTGTGAGGGTGAGTGAGGGCCGTGAGGGCTGTGAGAGCCGTGAGTGCGTGAGGGGTGTGAGGGCGGTGAGTGCGTGAGGGCCATGGGTGCGTGAGGGCCTGACGGCTATAAGTGCGTGAGGGCCATGAGGGCGATGAGTACATGGGTACGTGAGGGTGAGTGAAGGGCTGAAGGTGAGTGTGACTGAGTATGAGGCTGAGTGAGGGGCTGAAGGTGAGTGTAGCTGTGAGGGTGAGTGAAGGGCTTATGTGAGTGTGGCTGTGAGGGTGAGGTGAGTGAGGGTGAAATAAAATGTCCAGATTGAAGCAATCAGGGACAGGGATTAAGCGAAAGATCACTTGGCTCTGAAACTCGAGATTTTGCTTCAGGTGCTCCAAGCTTTGGTACGCTAACACACTCAACTATACTCCGTTCACCCTTAAGCTGAGATAAGAAGCTCCGCCTTCAGCGCGAGCTTTCTGCCCTTGCAAACACAAACGTGAACGTGCAGGCACGCGCAACCAAAGTACTGCGGAAGCCAGCGAGCTCGCGCTATTAAAGGCACACTGACACCCCTCAAATATTTTTTTTTATATTTTTGCCAGGCGAACTATTATGGGGTCAGACGACTACCCAATCAACATTTTGCTACAGCGTCACGTATCTTTTTAGCAAAGTCAAAATAAGCAACTGCTCCAAACAATAACCGAAACTCGACTGGGGAGGGAGAAGAAATGTAGAGAAGGAGAAAGACACCGGACGTCACGTGGCTGCGCAACTTTTTTCTTTCAATCAACGTATTTGCAGCTTCTTAGAAACCACAAAAAATGGGTATAATTTATTCTCTATTTTTAGTACTGAGTGTGTGCCTTCGATGACCCATGACGGTGATTATCTCTGTTGGTTTTGTCTAAACCATAGAAAACGGCACATGACCGGTGATTTCTCTACACACCCCCGTAAAGGGGGGGGGGGGGGGGGGGGGGTGTAGAGAAATCACGGGTGTAGAGAAACCCGCCCCCCTTGTTTCTCCGAAGGCACCCCCTAAATTCACAGCGACTCCTTTATTCTCAATGCCCCCCGTAACCCCCTTAAAAATTAGACCCCCCCCCCCCCCCCCCCCCCGTAATTTCAATTCATGGGGAAACCCCTGCACGTGACCATGGAGAAGAGAGTGAGCGCGACTCAAACCGGCCAGTTTTCAATCAGCGGTTTTCGGGTGGAAAGAAAACGTATTTCGAGCCGCAAATTGTATTGTGGGTAGTTGGGCTCTCATACGGCATAAACAATTAAAAATCTTCATAAATACCCTGTAAGTGCCCCTTTAATGGTGCACGGAGTATACCGAACCCCCCCCCCCCCCCCCCCTTTAAATAGAAGATCCGGAGGAAACCACCTGCGAAATTTCTTCTCTTCGTATCCATGATATGGCTGAACCTTTCCACGTAGTCGTCGGGTGCTTCAAGCAAGGAGAACTTGTTCCCGACGTGAACAGCAAGGTGGCTCAGGTAGAGGAAAAATGGCTGTCCAGGTGAGAAAGAAATACACGATCGAATGTACATTGAAATAGACAAACACGGTTTGAAATGACCCTACAACAACCCTCAAAAACGCCTCTGGGCAATCCCCTCCACCCCCCCCCCCCCCCCCCCCGCCTCCCAATCGGTGGCCTATTTCTATTTAAAAACAATAATGATCCCTTTTGTATGTTGGGGCTCCGAGCAACTCCTGCGGGTCGAATGATCGTGAGAACATATACGGAGCAACGCTGGACATAGATATGTTTTCGAATTTCTATATATACCAAACCTTTACTGCGGAGCGAGATCGAGAAACACGGCCGCTGGAAGACCCGGACGCGGTCAGGACAGTGCGGGAGCATGAGAAGAGGTAAGCGAGGGCAGCGTTTCACTACGCGAAATAACATGGGACGCTGTCTGTGGTGGGGTGGCGCTTCCGGTATGCCGACAGGCTGCGGGGGCTCAGCGGTGCACCGCCCCCTTTAGGCGTCGCAAGTTCCCTATAGTCCGTGCTATGGTAGACGCTGAGAACTTGAAAAATCCAGTGTGTTCTTGGGCGTTATTCCTCAGGAAAAATCCAGTTGTTCTTGGGCGTTATTCCTCAACTAATGCCGCCATTTCATTAGCTGCAGAGTGACGATGGCATTTAACTCATTTCAATTTTATTTGCTTCTCTTCATACAAAAAGCGAGGGAAGATGGGGAAAAAAACAGTACAAGAACTGCGTCACATAGTCCCCACCTAGCTCCCCCTACAGCAGCAGCACTTTACTCACACGAAGAAAAACCGCGAGAGAAAATAAAAAAGGACAAAAATGTATTGTGTACACGGAAAAAGAAAATCAATTTGTGATTAGCTTGACGAGGCAAGCAACGAGCGTATATATGTTTGCGAGAAACACTTCCAATGTCAACTCCTAGTGACAAAATCAAATTTAGCACTTTGGGTGGCTGATACCTGTAATCATCTGACTTCCATAGTTCGTCCTAGTGCGGGGGACCGTTCAGGTACAGGCATGGCGTAAGGAATACAAATAACATTTTAAGTGAAGAGAAGAAAAACTGATGAAATGGATACTGTTCCGGGATTACTCGAGGCTGGTTTGTATGTTGGGGCAAGTTTGCAATCGTAAAAGGTTGCTATTGGAACAATGCGTACTTTTTTGAGTATTGGTGTCGTGTGGCTGTCGTACTTTGCAATGACGGAAATGCGAACTACATTTTTCTGCAATACACGGAGGGTGTGAATATTTGTAACGGTGCTATTTCCCCTGACCAAAAACCACTAAATCAAATAAGCATAAAATAAAGGGTTGCACAGAAGTCGTAGGATAGACATGAGGTAATTTTTTTTTTTTTTGCATTTATAAACAATCCTTTCTACATTTAAGAGGTTTTTTTCTTAGTAATCATTTTAAACTCATCGACCCATCGCATGTGTTAATTAAATATTACGCCAAGCACCTTGACATTTTGAACAATTTCAATACCACTTAAGGCCAAGAAGAGGACCAGATTAGCGCAAAAATTCACACCCTTCCAAGAACTACAGCTTTTGTTTTATTACTATTTATTAGTAACGAATTGATATAACATCGTCCACATAATAAATGTTTCAAGATATAGATTGTCCCTTTTATCATTGCAGAAATGTTTGTTTCCAAAAATAATATGGTGATGTCATCTGTATAAACTATGATGCTTTGTAATGTCACTTATAGATTAAAAATACGACGCCATAAAATACTACCCTGTCGAATTTCTGCCTTTAGCTTTCTAGACTTTGAGTAATATCCACCTAATATGACACATTGAAAACGGTACTGCAAGTAGCTCACAAATATTTTCCGGGCTATTCTCCTTATGTTATAAAGCTGCAGCTTCTGGAGTAGGGTCTTGTGATTAAGGCGATCGAAAGCTTTCAAAAAATCGAGAAATATTCCTAATGTAAGGAGTTGGTTTTCAATATTGTTTAAAATTTCCTCTTTGTTTTTTTTTTGTTTTTTTTTTTTTTTTGTTCAATAGCGTTAACTTATTCGAATACCCTTTTCGAAACCCATATTGGAGGGGAGTTAGGATGGAATGCTTTTCGCGGAAACTGTTAAGTCCATTGTAAATTATTTTTTTTTCTAATCCTTTTAAAAAATTGTATAAAATAGAAACCGGCCTAGAATTATCAAGCTCGTTCCTAACTCCTCATTCATAAATTACTGAAGCATTGGCTTCCTGCGTTTTACGTGGAAATACACCATCTTGAAATAATATGTTAAATCATAGTCTTCACTATACTGACGAAGCCAAGCAGATCGCCGCGAGACGCGGCCGCCGAAAGTGAAAAGGTAAAGCGGCAGACAACGGATGACAGGAGAGTCATGTAACGGGTGCCCCGCTGCGGCGAGACGCCGAAACACACTTCCCCCGAGCGATGGAGTGTCCGCTCGTGCTCCTCGCGTTCATCGCGTTACCACTTCTTTTCTCGTCAGGCTTGAAAATAATGTTTCGGGTACTCGCCACTGCAAAAGCTGTGCGCTAGATACCAGCTTCCCTGCGAAATCCTTTCTGCTACGAGATGCTCGCGCTCCAAATCTACGACCGTGCACTCTACGGCTCCGTCGTCGAACTGCCAGGCTTTGAGAGTATACAGCAGGCTATGGTTAAATATATGAGTTATAACAAAATCAGTAAACTCTATAACATATTTAACTGGCTTTATTTGAATGTCGTGTATGTCAACGCTGTTATAGCCCTGTCAGACGGGCCGATCTCACCAAGCGTTCCACGCATGCGTGACGCCGGCATAACTGTAGTTCGTAGGAGGCAGGCGCCAGTTCACGAGACAGCTCATGCCGCCTCGTGCTCTGCTCGCGCAGACCTCCAGCAGAGTTGTCGCGCGTGGAGAAAGACTACAGCTCCCACGATGGATGTCGGCAGCGGTGGCGTACTCAAACTAGCTGGTGAGATCGGTCTATTGCACTTTAGCTTACCGAATGTCACTTCAAGTGTTTTTTGGTACCACACGGGATAAATTATGTAACTCGCAAATGATGGCAATAACGATGGGTAAAGTACCATTAGACACGTAAAATGTTAAAGTAACGGCATAAATATCTCGGCAATATTTTGTTAATTGATTAAGGACACGTTATAAAACAACGTTACATTAATAAACGCCCTTTGCGCCAATTGGATGATTCAGATCGATTATATCGCAAGCCAAAATAAAAAGGAAGATGCCTCGTACAGCTACGTCAAATACTTTACTATGGGAATATAGTGCCCAGGTCACCCCTTCACTATAAAAAAAGTGTGAAAGAAATTTTATTTACGGATAAATAAAACAACGAAAAATATGTCCTAAACTTCGTGAATGATAAATGCATCTAATAGCACAAAAAAGTAATTTCTTAAAGATCGGTTGAAGCGAAATGTAATATCATAGATAACTAGCCCACATCTGTTCGCACATCACTGGTTGTTTATTTGTCTTCATTTGTGTTTGTTTTTTATTGTATAGCAGTGAAAGCATGTCACTCTTGTTGTCTTGTTTTGCTGCCGCTGTTGCCAAAAAGGGTGGCGTGGCCTCGTCAGACACTTCAAAGGGTCTTTTTAGTCATGTCCCCTGGGACTTTCTGTAAATTTGTCTCAAATAGACTCATTCAAACAAATAAACAAACAAGCAAACTCTCCTCATTTCCATTAGACAGAACGACGGCCGCGCCATAAAGCACCCCTGGTGGAGTGGTTTATTTGGCGACGCCTCATTGCCCCCACCCTTTTCTTCCCTCCGCCAGAGCACGCGAAGGCGACGCCTCGGAATGCTCTGCGGTTCACGGGGTCTCGCGGATGCGAAGACGGTACCGGCAATGTTTTGTTTAATTTTTGAAGGCACGTTACAAAACAACGTTACATTAAGGAACTACCTTTACGCCAATGGGATGATTCTGATCGATTATCGCAAGCCACGATGACGAAGTTGTCTTGTACAACTACACCGGCTACATGCTGAAAGAAACGTAGGCTCTATCCTCCTCTGCTAACCAAGATAGGGAGTACTAGAACTGGGAGGTGTGCCGACCGCATCGGCATCTCCATAGGAGCTGGGTGTTGAGTGGCCCGATTCTGCCGCAGGGAGGGCGGCGATACCAGTTACAGCGGGGCCAGGAGGCCGGTCAGGCAGCGCATAGCGAGGCTGGCTTCGGGGCGTTTTGGTGTTACTATTTCTTTTTGTCTTGTGTTGTGTTCGAAGCGACACAGTATTGTGTGGCTGCTAGCTGTGTCGAAGAGACAAGGGACTCACAGTGGTGTCAAATACCGCAAAGAAAAAGACGGAGCGCTGCTGTTTTGTGCCGGTGTGCAAGATGGGTTAGAACAGATAAAAAAAAAAGAAACGCTCCTTGTTTCGGACGCCGAACAACGCCTCTCTGTATGCAGAATGGAATCGCCTAATTCAAAAAAAAAAAAAAAGAAGTGATGAAGAAAAAGAAACGAAGATTAAGAAGAATGTGTGACCCGTATGACATGTCGGATAAATCAAACTGCTCTAAGTGGGCTTGCTCTTCAATAAAGACCGCGGCTCAAGTTGCTCCATTTATTTTGCCAGTCTTTGTGTTGATTTTTGTATCATGCATGCTCACTCGATGAACTCAATTCAGACATTTCCTGGTCTAAAAACTTTGACTGAGAATGTAGAAGTCAAGAAAAGCTCGCTTTCATTAATCCATGTTACACAAAAAAAGATGTAATAACTCCAGAACAAAAACTAGGTAATTTAAGGTCTGGAAAATGTTCAGGTGCCGAAAATATCATCTAAAGAGCCTTGACACTAAAGTGCAGAGAAAAGCATCGCAAATCGTATCATACTCAAACTTCACTTTCTTAATTAGCCTCTGGAATGTGAGGTGAGGTAGAAAATTATTCTTCTTTAACACCATAACGATAACAAAATTAAACAAGCGAGACTATGTAAGTAAGTGAACGCTCCTAAGCGGCATTTGCGCCTTGAATATACGCTCCTGTGCCTCGCGCAAGTGACACTTTTTCACAAGTTGTGTGATATAGGATGCAACTTATCCTTTCTCACAACCGAGCAGGCAAAAACAAACCAAGAATACGACCATTGTCATGCTGAATAAAGCATATCTGCTGTGACCTCCAGGCCTCTGTCAAAGCTCAGATAGCCACGTTCTAAAGCCCCTTGATGTAAACACATCGAGGGGCTTTACAACGTTCTGCCCCACAGCGCCCTCTCCGGCGTGCCCGAACATCACGACACTCACGGCGGCGGACGGCACACCTCTCCATCCTAGTACAGCCTAACCAAGATAGCATCGGAAGGACTGACTTCGTCGTCGTCTTTAATCGGTTCACCGCGGTGCTGATGGTGATACAGAATCAGCCTAAACTGCAAGGCTAGGTGCACCCCACTATTTTTGTGCGATGACACCCCTTTCTGTCTTTCTTCACGAATTGCTAATTGTTTTTAGAGTAAACTTTACGTTGCGTTTTTTTTTGGCTCGTGTGTTGTTATGTTTTAACGTAGAAAAACTGCTATCGAGATCACACACTCGATCGAGTGAAGTGAGTTCGTCAAAGTCGCTTGAACCCAAGTGTGCTCTTCAGGAGGAAACCGTGTGGTACACTACAGAAATGTCACTAAAGGCGAAGTGAACTTGGTTGAAGTGCACAATATTAGTTCGTCTGACGGGGGTATTACTGTTTATGAGGCACTTAAAGTCGGGGATCCCCACGCCCTGCGGTTCTTAATGTTGTCAGCGACTATTATTCCGACTGGTTCGAAGCGTCAACTGCTCTTAAACTTGAGATTAACGACTGCAACGTGACTGGGAGTTAATCATGCCCGAATTACAATTATCCTTCATGCGTGGCTATTCCAATTTGTCGATATTGTTGCGTATCTTTCATACAATACAAAGTACGACTGGAGCAGTTGCTGGCCTGAAAACTGAATACGCCGAAAGACTCTTCGCTAGGAGACTTGAGAGATATTTTAATTTTGCATTGGCCAAGAATCTATAAGTCTCTCGTTGACTGTATTTTTAGACTTTACAAGCACTTTCTTTTTTCTTTCTTTCTTTTTTTTTTTTTTGCCGCAGAATTATGTTTGGAAATCTTACAAACACTGGAAATCCTACCAACAACACTGAAAATCCTACCAACAACACTTGGAAATCCTACCAAAACGGTCTTAGTAGCTGAGCAGTGCTGTAGGTGTTACCGGAAAAGGTAACGAAATACGTTACTCGCTCCTCGCACATAAGGGGAAAGCGTTACCGTTAGCGATAAAAATTAACGTACGTTACATTATGCGTACACGCTTTATATATGAATTTTTACGCTTAACCGTTTTGACGTAAAATGTCAAGACATGCCCTCAAAACGTGGCAAAAGTTTTAATGTATGCGCGCCGATTGCAGATGTTCGAGTACCTCGGCGGCTAGAAACGCGAAAATAATTCTAGCCTATCTTCTTGGAAGTCTCGGGAAGAATATGTAACGAGTAACGTAACTACATTACGCCTTACCAGAACGAAGTAACGAAAGCACGTTATGCATTACCCTTTTAAAACGTAACGAGAACGATACGTATAAATTACAAGGTGACACCGTTAGATGTAACGCCGTCACTGTTGAATGTGTTACCGCCGCCAACACTGCAGCCGAGGAAAGACTTAAACTCGTGAACCTCCTCTCGAAGCCCTTTCAAAGACCCAATACGCACCTTGCTCTGGTTTCGCTTCCCGAGGAGATCAATCGCCTTTTCTGTGAAGAGTTGGGTTGAGTACTTCCCGGCCGCATTGTAGTCCGCTTCCAAGTTATCCCATATGTCGAGACCCCAGCCGACCCAGGAGTCATTTTCAGTGTTGTATACCTGCAAAAGCGACTACTCTAAGGCCCCGGTAACCCTTTGTGCAACTGTCCTGTCAAATGGGCAATATAAAAACAAATGTTTGCATACATGTTGTAAACACACAAATGGACGAAGCAAAGGTGGTTTCATGAGCATTCTTGAAACGTGTTCGCAGACACGTCTGTCATTAAAGGAGCTGTGCAACGATACTCAGTTGGAATGTTTTTCACTGTACACGAGCTTACTGGCACTAGTGGGAGTCAAGGATACTCGCACGCAACTCTGCTGGCCAAGAAACGCCTTGGTTGCGGTGTAATTTCAAGGACAAAAGCGATCATTTTCATTCAATCTCTCCTTTGCAAAATTTCATGACGTAACGTGGGGATCGCAGTACACCCAAGTGACGATATTTGAATGCGGTTCATAGATTGGACCCGAGCATTGCGTGGGCGCACGATTTGGGCTCGTGATAATTGCTAGCTCGAGAAGCATTCGGGTAGTGGCCCGTGTCCAATCGCTGCAACGACGACAATAGCCGAGCCGTAACAATATCCGGAACTCAGCGCGTGCCCTGTGCTCTGCCAACCCTAGCGCGTGGCTATGATCTACATTGGCGGCATATAATCGGCTCCAGATCACGTGGCCGCTTGTTCTGGCTGCGAGTTGAGGGGGTGAACGCTGCTCGTTTTTCGTTAATTTTTTTTCTGGGACTTCTATTGCGTGGGGGGAAAAACGAACGTGTGTTTCGTAGGTCATTAATGTCAGGGATCCATTCTAAGCGGTATTTGCGCAAAGTACAAAAATTGTCACACCGCTCATACATTGTGCAAAAAAAACACACAAAAAAAAAAAAAAGAAACAGTCTGCGTACAGATTTGAACGGGAGCCACCGCGAGATCCGTGCTTCGAATGCAACGCGTGGCAATGAGTTCGAGGAGGAAACTTGGCACGCGCGGCATTCAAACCACAGATATCGGGGGCGGGGGGGGGGGGGGGGGGGGGGGGATTTACTCGTGTTTGCAGACTGCCTTTTGTTAGTTGTGTATGGGGAGTGTGACTGGGGTAGAATTAAAAATTCATTTTAAATTTATCGCAGTAGGAATAGAAGGGACAGCTGATCGTGGTGTCAGAGTTTGCTTTTGCATTCGAAGCATTAATTGGCATATGACATCCAACATAAAAAAAAAACAAGAAAAAACTTATCTTTGAGGGTACAAACCTCCAACACACTGTGGTCCGTGTAGCCCTGATGACCCGAGTAGTAGCCATAAAAAGAATCGAATCCACGTCTGGTTGGCGTGTGGTCGACGGTCATGTGACCGAGGTGCCACTGTAAATACAAAAACGGAATCCACGGTCAGAAAGGCCAGCTCAACGTATTAGGTTTTCCTTCGCCCTCTACGAAGTAAAAATGTTGCGCACGGAAAAGTGCTATCCGTGTCACTTGGGCAACTGCTGCATTTGTAAGATTGGAAGATGAAAGATGAAGAACATTTTACGTCTTCATAATTATATGTTTAAATAATATTGAATACAAAAATAATATTCGGGTCTTTTATAAATTTTTTTCTGTTTCAAAGATAATTGAAAATATTGGTGAAAACGTTTCGTATCTTCCAAAAGTCATACGGTTATAGCGACCATCCCTCTTTTTTTTTTTTTTTTTTTTTAGAATTTTATGCACGTACCTTTTTTTTTTTTTTTTTTGACATTGTATCATTTTTAAGCTGTAAATGATGATTGCTATCAGTGAACATTCAGTAATAACACCGTGGTCAAAACTTACAAAAAGGAACGCACCTTTCCAACTGCATGAGTGTCATAGCCGAGCTTCTTGAAAAACTGGGGCATCAGCGGGAATCGTAGGGGGAACGCGTACTCATAAGCCGTGTAGATGACATCGTGCTGCATTCCTGCAAAAGGAATACGCGTGTAATCGAAACGTTAACTCGTTGCATTTATTTGTTGCAAAATAATTAAACTTTGCAAAATAAGAAATAGGCCAGGTAAAATTTGCAGTAACGGTTTGAAAATCCGGAGAAGTTGAATGTAACCTTTGAGTGCCAAATCTAATTAGTCGCCGCCGCCACACTGCTAATATACATCAGAGAAAGTAGAGTGCAAACGCTGTCTGAGGCGCCTTTATACGGAGGGTAAGTTCGTCTGCTTCTTTTTGCAGGGGCTGTGCTGACGTCAGAACGCCAAGCGCTTTGATTGGCTCTGATTGAAATATAGTGGGCAGACTTCAAGGCAGCTTGCTTTGAGGTCTACCCCCTATTCTTCAATCGGAGCTTGTTGTTCTGACGTCACCACAATGCCTGCAAACGAAGCATACGAACTTGCACTTCGACTCCGTATTCCTTGTATGGTGGGTGGTCATCTGTCGCATTGGTCATGTAAGAACTGTCTGCATGCATGTTCAAAGCATGTACGAAACATTTTACATGCTTCGAATATGCGTGAGACGCAGATAATTCTATCATCATGCCTGCAGAATGTATCTTTGTTGTACGAGCAGACGTGACTGGGACTTGAGGAAATCGAAAAACAAGCACGTCCATCAAATTCATCGCTATGGGCAGTCGCGTTGACGTCGAACAGAAAATGAACTGCTCGACTCGAAATTTCTAACACACTAATAATTTTTGTTTTAATGCCTCGACGCGAAAACGATTTAAAGTTAAAGATTCGAAGCATCCAAAGAGTATTCCCTCCCCGGTATGGCTGTTGTGTGTCTTAACAAACAAACCTAACACGATGTGCCCAATCGCAGAGCTTTGGGGCGGGGGGGGGGGGGGGGGGGGGGGGGGGTTATGATGGGGTCCTTATAGTTGGGGCACGCGGTCAGTAGGTCACAGCGATAACAAGAAACGTCTTAAACGCAAGCGATCTTTCTTGTATCAAGTTTTAACGGAAAAGATGTTTCTATTCCTGTTAGCAACTGCTATTGTTGTTTTTAGTAGGCACAAATTCAGCTGCCAACAGCCTTTTTTTTTGTTTGTTCTAGAAGTCTTAAAATTATCTTTAAACATCAGAAAGTTTTAAGTTCTGAAATGTTGGCACCTTCCCAACCACTAACGCCATACTCTGCTTTAGTCTGAGCTTTCGGCATTGCCCAGTTCATCTTCGAGGTGGGAAAATCACGCTATGTTCTTCACCACCGGCACCCTATATTTTAAGGCGATCTTATCTTGGACTGCACCCAAATGGTAAATGGCGAAGAGGCTCTAACGGAGGAAAGAACACGACGATCACCTGTGTGGATGGGATGTCTGCCCGACAGCAGCGTACTCCTAGAAGGCGTGCACAACGGGGACACGTAGTAGTTGTTCAAGGTAATGCCGTCTGCGGCGAGGAGGTCTATGTTCGGCGTGGGAATCTGGGGAGACCCGTGGAAGCTCACATCTCCCCATCCCTGCAAAAGAAGCGATCCAGCGACCTTTTTCTTCGATGTACTTTTACTAGCTATGGGATGGTGCATGCGGGGAGCGATCCTTTAAATTTTGTCGAGGAGATACCAAACAGTCGTTTCGGGGAGTGAAGAAATTACCGTGTTCATTTCCCCGCTAGGTTTAGCGGGAAAATTGACGTCACGGTATAATGTGACACCGCGACTTGATGCCGTGACATCAGGTCACGTGACTTGCGTCTGTCTTTTTACCGCGCCAAATTTAGCGGGGCAATTCACCTCACGGTGTCGTGGTGGTGTTACAGGATATCATAACGTCAGCCATAAAGTCACGTGACTGTCAATTTCCCCACCAAATTCACCGAGGAACTGCACAAACGGACGGAGTGACAAATTTCTGGGATAGGCAGACTTGTACCGTACGCATTACAAGTAATCGAATTACTTGTAATCGATTACTTTTTGGAGTAATTTTGTAATCAGTTGATTACTTTTATTAGGCAGTAATCACAAGAGTAATCTAATTACTTTTTGAAGTAATAAAATTACTTGTAACCGTTACAATTTGTCCACGAAACACCCCCCCGGGGCACACACCTTTTTTTTTTTTTTTTTTTATGAAATGACAAAAATAAAATTTGCTTTTTTTTCGAACGGCAAAAAAAAGATTTTTGCGGAACTGTAGGAAACGAGGTCAATCTCTATCTATGTACAGTTTCTGTGGAATGTCCGTTTTTGTTTTTGTTTTTTTTTTTCCGAGCTGGGACTGGGAGTGGGAAGCCCCAGGAGAGCCACAGTGTGTGACGAAGGCCATTCAGGGCGAAGCTTGAGGAAGCAGAATGTAGCGTTGTGAGTTCTTCGTTCAAACTAGTCCCCTCACGCACACACACACACAGAAATAAAAAAAAAAATTAAAAAATCCTGCTTAGGGTATCTACTCGCAGCCCGTAGGAGAACCAGAACCGAAGAATGTCTAAAGCGGATGCAAAATATAACAAAGGCAGGTGAAATATTTCCCCATTTCCCCTACCTGGTCTTTGTGACAAGCAATGTTTCGAGTTGAGAAGTGGTCGGGGCGATCTCTTCCGCTAATGGATACTACAGATGATCCGTTTCAAATCCTGGAGCTGCTGCTCTTTTGTATAACATGCGAGCTCATCCACATGTGAATAATAAAATGAGCGACGCAAACTTTGAGCGAAAACCCTTGCTCATGCTTAACAAGATCTAGAACCCCCTCCGCTCCCCCCCCCCCCCCCCCCCCCACACACACACACACACTGGCGAACGCCCAAATCATTAAACGTCTTCAAACGAATTCTATGCTTGTGTCCGCATTGCGAAGGTGCAACGACCACGAAGAGGGAGCCAGTTTTCCTTTTTCAATACTTGTGCAAATATGAAATATAGGTTGGAAGTAGTTCATTGTTATGAGCGCTAAAGATGTGTCTTCACACAATAAAGTAATCGGAAAAGTAACGATTACTTCTTTAAGTAATGTCCAATTACTTTTGCCGTCGAGTAATCAAGTAATCTAATCGAATACTTTTTAGCCAAGAGTAATAGTAATTGTAATCGATTACTTTTTTTAAGTAACGTGTACAAGAATGGATAGGCCGGACGTTCCGTTGAAAAGAATTCCATGACCTCAAAAGTGCAGGGGGTGGCAAAACGAACTGGCTCAGTGGAGTTTGTGACGGAGCGTTAAAAATAAAATGCACGGTACATTGAACAGTTAAGGATGGAGGTTGGAGCTATACGTCAAAACGCGATGTTTCTCTTTTATGGATTAGCATATTGGGGGCATTCCACTCGGTATTTTAACCCATCTCTTCGAGGCTCGGTTGAGCGAGATCATACGCGTATTATTACCAGTGTTTCACGCGTTCCTTTATAGAACGAGCACGAAAAGTCGGTTCCCGTTACAAGTTCCACGGGTACAAAAGAAAGGCATTTCTGTTTCATTTTTAAGATCGGAACGTGTCGTTACAGTAACGTTACATTTGCGTATTTTAACGAAATATTATGTCGGGTACCTTCGTAGTTCAAACGAAGCAAGTAAACAAAATTGTTGAACATGCACCATACGAATTAGAGACGTCGAGTTGCCACGAGTACTGTTATTTCAGATATTTAGAGTATCCCTCGAACACTTTCCCTCTTCTGCGTTTCTTGAGCTGACTACATATTGATACTGTGACTCGCATTTTGCCGTTTCCCACACGCATAGTTATCCAAACAAGATTCCCTTCTTTGGTGAGGAAACACCCTCAATAAAGTGCAGGTGATTTGCTATGCGGAAAGCAAGTTGCCTGCTTCTTGCGCAGGGATTCCGGTGACGTAAGAACGACGCCGACTTCTGATTGGCTTCGAGTGGAAGGATAGTGGGTGACCTCAACGCTAGATGCCTCGAAGTCTACCCACTATTTTTTTTCAATGAGCCAATAAGAACGTGGCGTTGACATCGTCGCAACCTCCATGCAAGAAGCAGACGAACTTGCGTTCCGCATACTTCGTTTCACCTTCCGTCAGAGCGCGGTCCATGTTACGAACAGAGGAGCCAACTAAACATCGCAAAAAAAGTGAAACGTGCACGCGCGCTCTCTCTCGCAGTCTTTTTGTGCGTACTCCTCCGCCGAATCATCCAATCAAGCTCGAAGAACGCGTCATGGCATTGCACTTATCGCCCTCCTTGATTAGTCCCTCGGTTCGTAAAAATCGACCGCGCCCGGAAACGAAATTTAGGTCAATTCCGTCGTTTCACAATAATTGGCTAAACGTGCCTTCTGCTGGAATGTGCACAGGCAGGCTCTGCTAGTCAGCGGTAGATAATTGCAAATAGTCACCGACGCCTTAGGAGACGCAGTCCCGCGGCATCGTATTATAATGAGCCAATAAACAAAAGACTCTCAGCATCTGGCGATAAGAACGCCGACGAGCGAATCGCAAAGCAGGAAGGGCGAATACAGTACACGCGTGCATGTCAGAAGACGGTACTTACCAAATCATCGGCCACAAATACGACGATGTTCGGAGGGACGCCAGGCGCGGTTCGCACGCAAGACCCCCAAAGCAACCACAGCATCCAGCGCGTAGCACCCGTTTTCGTCATCGCGGAAGTCTCGTTTCTCCGAGCACCCAAATTCACCACGAGCTCGCGCCGGATTTAGAGCCCATTCTACGCAGTACATAAAAACCGGCAGCGCTTGCGGCAGCTCATTTTGCTATCCAATTCGCCCCGCGCTTAAGCGCAGTGTTGAGTGAATTATGACGACGAACTGCTCCCCTTGACAATACAGCGCGGCTGTCTGCGTGCGAAGTCAGACGATACGTGACACGATCAGTCGACTGGCCTCGTCTGCCAGCGACGCGCTCGAGACCCATGCGCCGTGTAACTCAAGATTGTGGATATCACGTAGACGCAAATCTAATCGGGCAGCCTGCATTTTGAAGTGCACGATGGGCGCTCGAGAGAGAGAGAGAGAGAGAGACAGCTCTCTTTTGCACGGTCAAAGAAAGACGCGTGAATGTTTAGGTCTGAAATGAGAAGTGACCCCATTGATCGAGTATCGATGTTTCCGATTCGTTGGAGCCACTAAGGTGGAGGCTCTTTGGTCAGTGTACTGCAGAGTCCCAATCCTACAAATCGTATTATTTCACCGGAGGGGATGATATTACGTCGTGAGCCAATGGGGGCACCGAAAACCGAATCCCGAAGCAAGATGCGTGAGCGTAAGGGGTTCCGTTCTGCCATTCTTGACATTGACTCTGTCTGTAGTGTTATGTGTTCCAAGGAGAGCGTGAATCTATTTTTCCGACGCAATTTTTATCGATGCTTCCGGACTTCCCTTGAGAAGTTCATTTAATATCGGTATTCGGTAGCTCGTATTCGCCTCAAGAACCATAGTAAAAAAAGTCCGGCTCTTAGTAGAACGTTATTCATCCCCTTAAAACCTTGAATTAAGTTACATCTAGGTTCATCTTAGATTAAATTTATGTTAATTTATCGAGACGTACGTTGCCTCAAACGCCAAAAGTCTTCGTTTCTTCCTTCGACAGCCGAATCCTGTAAGAAATATTTCGCGCAGAGCACAAAAAAATGTGCAAAACTTCCTATTTTTTTTTTTTTTTTTCTTAGTGTGAAAACGAGACTGTTCTCCCCAACGGTGGGCGGCAGTGGCTTCGCCGCCCACCGCTCTGACTGGCCGCCCACCACTCGATTTTTTTTTTTTTTTTTTTTTTATGTTTTGGGATGACGATGCGATTTTGCCTGCGCACATGGCTGCAGACCGTCGCTGTCCTACTCAGCAGGTCAGCGCACTGACACATTATTGTTCGATATCGCATCGCTGACTGCCGCCACTGTAACACTGCTTCAAACAAAGCGCGCAAACGCTTGACGCGTTTTTTTTTTTTTTTTTTTCTCTATTTCAGTTGCGCGCCGCCGGCAGTGTCGGGGGCGGGAGGGGCGACAAACAGACGCAACAAGCCAAAAAACTTTAAAAAAAAAAACAAAAAAAACGAACGCCCCCCCCCCCCCCCCCCTTCTCCCCCTTCCCTCCCTCCCGGTAATGTCCAACCCTCAGAAATTCCTGGGAAGAACCCTGCCTGCAACTTATTGCATTCAGTCTGGGTAGTGTTGGTATCTCGGTAAGTCAAAGTGCACAAGTCGTTAAAAGTTGTTTTATTGCTTAACTCGTTATATGCGTGACAACAGTCTGCGTGCGCTGAATCAGAAACTGTTTTCAAAAATGTGCACATGTAAAAAAGCTGTACTGCACTTTTCAATAAAAAGTTGCTATTTCGCCTGAGGTGAAGTTACACGCGTGCCGAACGCGAGCCTTTTCGTGAACTGCTGCTTTCACTTCGCTAGGTGAAGTATTTGAGGCATTAAAGCGGCTCTAAAGCTTCTAGGGCCCCCCTTTTTAAGTTATTTTCTACCAGCTTCCACCACCAGCGTGTTTTGTTTGTGCAGTATGCAGTCGTTTACAGATAGACATGAAATGCATTTTTTTATTTATTTATTTATACATACCGCTGGCCCGTGGGCCGTGGCAGGGAGGAACAACATATAACAAAGGTGATACAGTTCATACGTCCAACAAAAACTTTGAAAAATACCGCATTTACGTGATACGAGACGCGCTCATAGCACAATGAAGAAAAAATAAACTAAATGCACGTAAAAAAAGCGATAGTCACTTTAACAATAACAATATGCTGACCACAATAATGAACAATAATCGAAGGCACATGCCGTGTACATTCGAACTGATAACAAAGAATCTTCACAAAGCTCTTGTGCCCAGTCATCAGATTACATTCCTTTACGCTAGTGGTGTTCAAGGTTGATGAAATTGGAAGTAACCTCTGTTTCAACATAGAAATAGCTCGAGTATCTCGGACTCCCGGATGACCAAATGCTCCGAAGTAGGCCCTTCTGCTACAACCAAAATCGTACGCAACAAATGTAAAAAAAAAAAAAAAAAAAAAAAAAAAAAAAAAGACTAAAAGAATAATGGTTACCGCCGGCTGTTCGTACAAGGCACGAATAGGAAAAAGCAAAGCAAATTAGGCGTTAGATGTTTACCCAGCGTGAGTCAAAGTATGGTAACACTGGTTCACGCTGGAGTTTAAAAACTTAGCCAGTGCAGAACCACTGCTATCCTGCTATGCTGTCGAAACGAGAAAGAATACAGGATCAAATGCAAATGGAATTTGAAAAACACGGTTTACAGTAATTCTATAAACTTTGTAACGGTGTTATCTGCGTAATTCGGTTTTAACTGATTTTGTATGTTTGACCACGGCCGGACTGGAAGAGCGCGCTCTCTTTCTCTTCTTACGGCCTTTGCAATCGCCCGGGAGGCAATGGCATTTTTTCTCCGTATGTAGTTCACTTGCTTGCCGCCAGGGGCGCGACCACCTTACCCCACTTCACCCCACTCGGAGGGTCCCTTCGAGCCGCTTTGCGCTGGTGTTCGAGCTTCGTAGGTTACCACTGACCTGAAAAAACTGTAAGAGCCTTGCGCTCCATTTCCCTCTGTGACATACCCTGGTCTGGAGTACGTCGTTTGTTATCTGGTGAAACTCATTAGTGAGTTTGGGTTTGAGTTTTAGTGAGTTTGGGTTTTCATTAGTGAGTTTGAGTTCGAAGCAGCGCCCGAATTAAAGTTTTCGCTAGAGAGACCGAATGACGACCGTTTACAGTATCTCGATATTCAACTTAGGAATAGTTCAGGCCTTTGTTGGGAGTACGGAAAGTTCGCCGCAAAACCTCTTCTTCCTTTCAATAGCTGCCATTCTAAACATGTCAAACTGGGAATAATTCGGAATCTCGTCAATTCAACAGTACAGAAGTCATGCTCACATTTTATTGGCTCTTCTCTTTGTCGACTGACAGAACGTTTCGAGGTTGCTGGATATCCACAGGAACATATTTTAAGGCAGTTGATGTATATGATATGTCCAAAGAAGTCAATTCGGAAAAATCCTAGGCCTTCAAAGCGAGTAGTCCTTCCATATTTTCATAAAACTTCGCACAACATCAAAGCGTTAGCCAGCAGGTTTAATATTGGCACTGCCTTTTCTACAGATTATAGATTGAGCCGTTTGACCCCTTTTGCCTCAACTGTTTCAGGTTGCACGATAAAACACAGAGAAAAGGATGTAGAATGTTCGTCGGGTGTCGTTTACAAGATACCATTTGATTGTGGCCTCTGTTATATTGGACAGACTAAACGTTGTATAAATGAGCGCATGATGGAACACAAACGTTGTATAATGAAACAAGACCCGTACTCCGAAGTGTAAAAACATGTTATCGAATGTAGAAACTGTGTACCGTTGTGGCATCTAACTTCAGTAGAGTTGCGGGAAAAAGATGATCATAAGCGGTTGATAAAAGAGTCATTAACGATATTAGGTCACGGGAATGCAGTTAATAAGCCGTCGTTTGGGTTGGACAATGAACTGCGGCGTTTTCTTAGGCTGTGAAAAGTTCTGACCTTCAAGGTTTATGTCTGTCGGTTTTCGGGTAGAAGGGACGATGGGTCGTTCTTTCCTTTTTCTTTTTCTTTTTTTCTTTTTTGTATATGTGTTACTGGGCTTGAGGTTACCAGTGTGTTTGGCGGTCGGGAAGCGAGGGGTCAAAGATAAGTGAAGTGCGTGACGCAGAGTCTGTTGTCCTTGTTGTTTAGTCAAGAGGTTACGTTGGTGGAAAGTGGCATTCTTTGAGGTTCTCACCCTCTCCCCCCTTTTTTCTTTTGTATCGAAGTGCCTATATAACCAGGTTTGGAAAATAAAAATTTCAGCTGTGTTAGAGACTTTTTAGTGTTGTGTCGTTTACCCGCAGTCTCGGGGTTTTTTCAACCATGAGGTTTTACGACGGGATCACGGTATTACGCACCCTGACATCACGCGACGTAAATTCCCCGGCTAAATCTAGCAGGCAAATGCAAGGACGGAGGAGAGGACATACGAATGCATTTCGATCCATCTCGCATATCTGCGCTTGTTCGGTGGCGATCTGGGTTGTGAGCATAAAGTTTTAACAGCAAAACCAGACTCAACCAATCACAATGCCACACATTTTTTAAAGACAGTTTTTAATTTATGAAAGTAATGCATCATAAAATCGATTTTTTCGAAACGCAGGTTCGTTCTACACATATCTCTTAGTCGAAGAAATCTAGAAATTGCGGTGGTCTGCGTGTACGACACACCAAACATCGCGTCACCGGGTATATCACGGTGCACGTTCCCATAGACCCTGAAAAGCTTGCGTGGGCTGTGTCGAGACACGGGAGATGGTGTTCACCGAAACACGTCTCCGATACACATTTCTCTAGTGGGGCTGCACACTGCGGCCCTCGGAAAAAATTCAAAAGTAGATATAATATTCTCATTACAGAAATCATTTGTCAAAGTTACCATGAAGATAGTTTAGCGGTGTCAGGATTGATATTATTTTGATAATCGCGGTTTCCTTTCGCGTGCTGCAAGGAAGTTCGATTTTCGCGCTCTTTTATTACAAAACGACCATGAGCTTAAAGGGCAACTCCGCTTCTTTTCCAGTAGTGCAAAACTATACAGTTCTCTTTGTTATCATCTACAAAACCCCCATGGCAAATATTACGACGGAATTCCGCCTAGAAGTTCATTAAAATCGCTGTCAAAGTTTGACAAGCACGAATCCGCTGGTTTTGGATGAGACGTGCGGGCCAGACAACACTGCCCGGCTGCATTTCCGCTTCCTCCAAATTCCTTCTCTCGGCACGTCCGCGACGTCATCAAACATGTACAGCTTCTTTCTTTTTTTTTTCTTTCTATTTTGTTTTCTTTCCTGGGGAGAGCACGGGTGGCGCCAGCGCCGTGAAAGACGCGAGTTACGCGCTCGGCAGGCCCGGCGCTCGACTATTGATACTACTGATAAGCCGATCGCCTCGTTGAGCG